GTATAATACAATCATCATGATAATATATATATATATATATATATATATATAATGGAAAAAAAATTCAAATTTGTATCAATATGTATGACCTTAATGAATTAAATCATCTTTTCATAACAAATTCTTCATCAATAACTATTTCCTATTAATCTAAAAATATTTAAGACAAAATTAATATTAATAGAGATATTTAACCCTTATAATTCATTCACGTCATCTTTCGTTTCTGATATAAGACTAAATCTAATCTCAACAAACATAAATTGAATAGTGTACTACTCATCTTCTCTTTTAGACTATAATATTACAATAACCTCAACAAATATAAATTGAATAGTGTAAGAGACATGATTGTTTGGTGATCGCTCACATCCACCAAATTATAGTATCATCTCTGTTGCCCAGTCGAACCTCAATCACATGCATGTCAAGTTCGTCTATCTTTTAATTCTAAGCAAGTAACTACATGTATGAATAATACAAATCAAGCATTTTGGAGCTACAAATAGCTCGTGCTGGTTATGACTAAGAGCATGGAGGTATCCACCATGAGTTCCAAAAGACTCCAATACAAAAGACACGCCATGCACATGAAATGCAGCAGTTGCTTACTTATTGCACCAACACCATTCACCACATCATGATCAAGGTACCCTCAATATGGTGATGGAGCTTCGAATCATGACTGATGATGATGATGATGATGATTGATGATGATGATGCGAACAAATGTATTCCGACTCGGTTTATTGGGTTAATTTTCCTTTTTTTTCTCTGCAAAAAACAAAAAAAGAAAGAGTTCAGCGTGGTGGTCAACATGACCATCCTTCACCTTCATCAGCTCCAAATCTCTCAGTGACTTGCCATAGTTCATCTCCAGTACAAAAACAATGCAAGGTTCTGCAGGGCGGATCACACGAGTCTTCAACCATGGAAGAGCAATCTCAGCTGCCATCAAGTCAAGCTTTCCTAGTGGATCAAAGCTGTGGTCGACAATAAGGTTAAGAGAGATGGATGGATGGACACAAGACATCAATGGCCTGCTAAAGCTGACTACTGAAGCAACAGTAGAACTACCGAGGTTTTGCCTGTGAAACATGGAATTGATGTTTAGATGCATACCACAGTTATCTATCTTCTCCTTTCTGTAGAGACACAAGACGAGTATTGTCAGTGAAGAGTAGTACTCAAATTCTAATGCCATTTCACTTTATTTGGTAGCATGTCGGTGTGAGAAACAGAAGTATACCTAATTGCTTTGAAGTCTGATATCAGATCGAATTCAGATCAAAGACAGATGGAAAGTAGAAAAATGTGGAGAAGCTAACACAGACCAAAAAATGTTGAGTGAACTCTTAATGTGCTTCTGCAATCACACGTATATCATATTGTATACATGATTTACATGGTTTGATGATTCTTCACGAAGAAAAAAATTGATGCTTCACTAGATGAGCATAATCGATTCGAGATAATTCAAACTCAGATCTGAAATATCTTGTATATTCTCTTACATAAACCAAGAATCTTTCGTTCAACCTCTCTAAATCTATTATGGAAAAGCCCAAGAGGTATTATTCCTTGTCTCTCCTTTGTCACAACTTTAAGATATATAAGATACTTATGGAACAATCAAACACTAATTCCGAATGATCTTTTTCCGTATTTAAATTCCTTATCCTCCAAGCAATCTTATTCTCTAAGTTTCTATCATAACTCCAACAATACTTGCCTACCCTAACACTTGCTTCCTCGAATTTATCTTGTCTTCCACCTCACTTAGAAGAAGGAACAGCTTCACTTGCAGCCATTATTGATTTCTCTCTTCATTATGGAGGAATATGAGGTGTTGAAGTGGTGTTGTGGGCATGACATGCAATCTAAATGAAATGAGGTGGAGGTACTGTGGAAGAGAAGCTTCACAAACATACTTAGTTTTGAGCTGAAGCAGTGTGTGTCAAGTGGAAGAATGTGACCCATGAGACAAGATTACAATGTCACAGCTATCACCTTTAAGATCCTACAATTTTAAGAGAATACATTGAATTTGAATATATTATTTTTCCAAATTCTATGAATATTTACCATGAAATTACAGATAAACATTGTTGTTTGTTTGAGTACTTTGAGATTTCTTCGTTTAGAAGTTAAACATGTTCATGCTTTTTTTTTTTTTTTACCAAAAGAAAGAGAATATTTTGTAGCTTTTTTGGATGGTTTAAATTTAGGTTTGATCCTTCTTAAGTCATTTAATTTCTTGTAGACATTATGTATATGACCAAAAAAGACTTAAAGACTGTTTAAATTAGCAATTGGCTCATTATGTATACTAAGGTTATAAAGCTATGCATGCCATGCATGAACAAGTTGATGAGGTGCATCACTCTCCCTCAAGATTCCATGCATCTCATAGCTTGAGACCAAATTGATAAGACATTCAATTTTCATTAATTTTTTTTAGTAAATCGAGTAGCTCGAACCCGAAAATCACTTACGATTATTTCAACCTGACTCTGAAACCATTTGGATAAAAGATAAGTTTTCACGGTGCTCTCGATACCATGAACCCTATCGACTAATATAGACTAGGGGGGACAGATTTTAAAGATAATATTCTAAGGGTCATGTATCTATAAAAGTTCATGCATCTCTTCAAGTTGTACCTATTCAGCATAACATTTCATTTTTATACATCCTTTTATGGAATCTCTTCTCAATAGAAGGCACAAAATAAATAAAATAAAATAAATTTCCAAAAATGAATTTAGCCAAAGAATGCTAAGAATCATACTAAGCCAAAGCTCATGAATAAATTTTCCATAAACAGAACTCAGCTCAGGTTGGAATTAACCTTACGCTACAGTAACATATAATAGTGGTACACTACAAGAGGAATCATATATCATCATACATATATATATATGATGATGATGATGATGATGATGCTTAAAAGGCTATAGGTTTCTGATAGAATAATGGAGGTCTAACCTAATATTTGGATTAAACCACTTACCTTGTATATCATGTGAATGTGCTGTGACAAAATAAGAATCAAAGCTGGACTATCAACTCACAAAATACAAGTCTAAAATAAGAAGAAAACAATTTAAGATAACACATCACATAGCATTCAGAAAGAGAAAAAGAAGTGCATGACTTTGAGCAAAAGATGAGAAGGTTTCACTGGCAAAACCTAGTCTTTTTGATAGCTGCATCTGCTACCTGATAACCACTACTGCAAACTTGTTAGAACTAGATTTGTAGCATAGATGTGTTCTCAGTCAAGATTCGGTGGTGCCTTATTGAGATCCCAGCAGAACTGATCATGTTGAGCTGAATGTGATGAAGATGATGGAGCTGGATCATGTAGCTGCTGCTCACCGGGGTGATGGTGCTGCACCGGCGCCACATGGTCGTCAGATGGGTGTGAGGAAGAGGATGGAGCTGGAGATCGATGGTGTAGTTGATGGAAGTGCCGTCTCTGGTGACCTCCAAGTGCCTGCCCGCTGGTGAACACGTCGTTGCAAATCTTGCACCGGTGTTCCGCGGTGGCCGGTTTCGCGACTGCAGTGCTTCTGCCCTGGTTCTCCACCGTCGCTGCGGTCGCCGCTGCTTCTTTGGGGTTGGTCTTGTTCTTATTGTGACTGGCTATGTGCCCTCCAAGTGCCTGGTGCGAAGAGAAGGTCTTGGAGCACACACTGCACGCGTACCTTCGACCATGATCAGATGTGGCGGACTCGACCTTCGTCTTCTTAGATCTCCTGTAGCTCGATGTCAGATCGTCCCCAGAGTTGATATTCTGAACCCTAGGAGGAAGCTCATCATCATTGTGGCAAGACTGAGTGAGCTGAAGTTGTTTCGTCTGACTTCCTTCCTCCTCAGCAGTGATTGCGGCCCGACCCCGGTGCTCTGCATGTGCCATACGCAATATGGTCATGGCAGCAGCCTCTAAAAGATCTTCGGCGTCGTCGCCGCCGCTGGCCGTCCCTTGTCGACCTCTTCTCGCGGTCGTCTGCCACTTTTTCGCAGGCAGATCTCTCGCGGCAGAAGGACCGGCGTCCGGCTTCGGCTGCTTCCGTGCACCCGGCGGCGGATTAGCTCCCCTGTAATCTCTCTCCGGGTGGCACCGCAAGTGGCCAAAAAGTGCCTTATCTGAAGCAAACGTCTTCCCGCACTCCGGGCATGTAGGGATCCCCGATCCGCCTTTGCTTGCATGCTTTCGTTTGGAGCTGCCGAACCCCTCGCTGGCCTTCGATACAGATCTGTGAACGTCGTCGAGAGGGCAAATCTCGGATTTGATATTGGCGTTTCGGTCTGCGACAAGCTCAGCCCCCGGACCAGGAGGCACCGCCTCCTGAACCGGTGCTTGCTTGGCCTTGCCCGTCTCCGGGCACTTGTGTCGAGTACGCAAGCCTTTGCTACCGGATGGCGTTTCTTCTT